AATAAATCAGTTATTAGGGAATAATCGAAATGGTACAGTCACTAATTGTTGTCATGTACGTCTCCATCTAGAACAGATTGCAGCAGGACTTGTATGGCGAGGGGGTTGTGTTAACCCAACTTGCAGATTGCGTGGTTTCTAATTGACGGCGCACACCAGCAGAGTAGATGTGCAGTCCAGGATGGAAGTGGTTAATTCTATCAGCAGCACAGAGAAGTTTTTTTTTTTTTTTACCATCTGAATCATAAGTAGGAGTAGAGAAGTAACACTATTGATATGGCTGTTGAGTGTGGACTGTCATTGATTTAGCATCATTTTAATGGCCAGTACACATTACAGGAAAATATGAACTCAATATTATGTATTATCCATGATTACGAAAATGCGCTTGCCTAGCATTACTAACAAAGGCAGCAAATTGAAAATATAACCAGTTTTCCCATGTATGAGCAGGTCATGGGGTATACAGAAACATTGAATAAAGCTGCAAATCATAAATACTAATGTGCATTTTGGGCAGTTAAATTGTCTTCAGATTCTCCCTAGTCTGAAAATGCATATGAAGCTATTTACACCTAGATCCACAGGAGCAAATAATGGAGATGGGAAATCGCTTGCATTGAGAAGAAATGGTAGAATACCTCAGCTGTTATATGAGCAGTTGTTTGATCTTTCTGTTTTTTTTAATCAGTCTCTGACTCGGAAGGTTTTGAGGACAGAGGGAGTGATCAAAAGAATAATGCATGGCATTATCATAAGACTATGAAGGTATATCTGCAGTCATTTTCTTCCATAAGCTCGTGGTTAAAGGATAAGAATACAGCCACTGTATATTCACATATCCAATATGACTGCAACATATGTTATCTTTCGGCTATTTAGGTTACTTTTGGGGCCAATCATTGTTTATTCTCAGAATGCCATCTATCAGATTTCTAGAAATCGGTGTTTCAAGTTGAATTACAACTCTCAAAAATGGCTGCAAATATTGTAAATATATGATATCTAATAATGGAAAACTGTTATAAATAAAAGACACAAAAGGTTGCACTTCAGGCCAGTAGAAAGGCAACAAAAAATAGTTATGCATTAAAATATCTTTATGTATGGTCCCATTCACATATCATGTGAGGGATTCCTGCTAGGAGATTTTAAAAGCATGGTTCTCCATGTCACATAGGGCCAGCCCAATCACTTGAATGGGCTGGCCCTATGAATATATATCGCTCCAGAGAAAGCTCTTGCTCCTCTGTGGGTGACAAGCTTCCAACGATATTTAAAGGCACGGTTTGCCGCTATTGCTGTGCAGTCCTTTTACACTACATTCATGGTATAATTGCACTGCACTTGGATTGCCCTTGAAGCAGGGGCGGACTGACCATTTGGAAACTCGGGCACCTGAAGGCCCAGTCAGTAGGGGGCCCCATGAGATGCCCCTGGTACCTTTTTCATAGGCTTTTTGAGTTTGGGCCCTTGCCCAAACTAATGCTATTATCCTTCAAAGCAGGGGCGGACTGACAACTCATGGGACCCCCGGGCAATAGGGGATCATGGCGCCCCTGACTTGAAGGATAATAGCACTCATATGTGCATATGTGTGTTTTGCACTGATTGCCTTGCATTTGGATTTGTGTGGTTTCTGCCCATGATTCCAAATCAAGAAATGTGAATGGGGCCTAAAATTTTGAATTCAAGTAGGTAACTAGATGAATCTGTCTGGATATCAGCCTTCTGTAATCTCCTGCACAGATTGAGAGAAGGAGGACCAGAAATCTGAGCCGATTAGGCCTTGCTGAGAGTGCACATGTTGACAACAGGAGAGAGAATTGTGATAACCTCATAAAAATTCTGCTGCTCCATTACTGTTCAATCAACAGGATGAGGCTGTGTGTTGACTAAGCTGTGATGCTGCACTGGAGGTCATAGATTTGGCTGTGTTTTATGGCAGTGATGCCAAGATTAAAAAAAAAAACTAACTGCACAGAACTACAACTCCTTTTGCTGGTAAAGCACTTTACATGTATGTGCTTGAAGAAGATATTCACCTACTTGCTCGGTGTGTAGCTTTAAATGCTGTATGACTTTATACAAAGTAGAATGTGGGTAACTTATGAGCCTATTCACACCAAGTGTGGTGGGACTGCATTGGGCAGCATTTCAGCATAGTTTTCTCATAAGACAAGGCAAAATGTGGGCGATCTGTAGTGAAAAAAGTATGGCAGGCCATGCTTTGTTTCAATGCAGTGCAGCGTGAGGCAATCCCATTGCACTGCATACCAGCCGCTATGTTGTAACACAGTGACTGGTGTGACCTAGCACTAAAGAGTAACTCCACTTTCATGGGAAAAAAAATCAATTAAAAATAAATAAATATATATATATATATATATATATATATATATATATATATATACAGTGAAGGAAATAAGTATTTGATCCTCTGCTGATTTTGAATGTTTGCCCACTCACAAAGAAATGATTGGTCTAAAAATCGAATTGT